GCAGATGTTGTGCTTCTTCCCAAACCGGGACGAAATCTATCAACTGCCAAGGGCTGGCGACCAATCTCGCTGCTGTCGAGCTTAGGTAAAGGACTTGAGCGTCTAGTTGGCAAGAGAATGGCATGGCTGACGATAAGTCACCAAGTTGTTCATCCGCAATTATTCGGCTCAGTACCAGGACGATCTGCGGTCGACCTTGCATCCTGTGTAATCCATGATGCTGAGGCGGCCATGAGAAGCGGAAAATGTGCGGCTATGGTCACACTAGACATCCAAGGTGCGTTTGATGCAGTCCTTCACAACCGACTACTCCAACGCCTTCGAGAACAAGGCTGGCCACTATCTCTGTGCCGGTTCATTCAGACCTTTCTCTGCCAACGAAAAGTCCAGGTGAAATACCGTGGTGGAACCACAGACGAGAAGATGCTGGAATGTGGAGTACCTCAGGGCTCGCCACTGTCACCACTTCTTTTCATGCTCTATATCGCTGTGCTTTTTAAGGACCATGGACTAACGAGCAGGTTTGGCTATGCTGATGATCTAGCCATCATTAGAGTTGGAAGCACCGCGGCCGAAGCTATCGCAGCAGTCCAAGAAGACCTCGACAGCCTCGTCCTTCTCGCCAGAGAACACAGGATCGAATTTGACCCGGCAAAGTCGGAACTTCTAGTGACCGGAGGAGGTCCTAGGAAGAAAATCAACACAGCCAACCTCTCCATCTTGGTGAAAGATCGCCGGATCGAACCGTCGCCTCATATCCGGTGGTTAGGAGTCTGGCTTGACACTCAGCTGAACTTCAAGCAGCATGTACAGGAATGGACTGGAAAAGCTAATCGTCTAGTCCACTTTTTACGACATATAAACGGAGTTCAGCGCGGGGCAGCACCCGGACCTCTAATTCGTGCGGTACAGGCATGCGTTCTGAGCACAGCTCTCTATGGGGCAGAAGCGTGGTGGCCGGGTCTTTCTCGAATAACCACCATCCGAGATAAAGAAGTCGGCACTGGAGTAGGGTGGCACACATCTCTGCTGGACAAAACTATCACGAAAGCTATACGAGTAGCACTCCCAGCGTGGCGTACCACTCCCAACAGCGCTCTTCATCGTGAAGCGGGAATCCCCCCGGCATCAATAATTCTCCAACAAAAGACGTTGCGGTCTGCAGCTCGAATGCGAAGAATGGATGCCTGGCACCCTCTAGCCCTTCGGGCGGCGGAGGACCCGAAAGATACTATAAAACGCCTAGGTCTTAGATCGGGACAACGAGATCGCTTGTTCAGACAGCCAGAAAGGTACATGACACGCCTACAAATAAGCGTGCGTCAAGTTCCGACAGCGGAAGGCCCTGGAAAGCTCTACTTTCCCCATGGTCTCCCGGCATCGACACCAGGCAGTCGGGAAAAAGAAGCTAGGTCAGGAAGCATCAAACGATGGTTAACTTCCCTTCCAGCCAACGCAGTCTGTGCCTTCTCTGATGGATCCTCGTCGGGTCCCGGGCAATCAGCTTGGGGTTATGTGGTATACCAAGGAGGCAAACTAGCTGGAAGTGGCTCGGGTCCGCTTCCCGGAGCAGAGGTATTCGACGCAGAAGTTGTAGGCGCTATGAAAGCCTTGGAGGCTGCACTAGCGGTGGGAGAAGGCTTTCCGGTCAGCATTCTTCTGGACAATCAAGCGGCCGTCAGAGCGCTCGAACAAGGAAGATCCAATTCCTCGCAGACAGTGGTGGACAAGTTCTCATCGCTGAGACATAATAGGCGTGTAGAAATACACTGGATACCTGGTCATGTGGGGATCCAAGGCAACGAAGAAGCCGATAAGCTGGCCAAATCAGCCCTGGGAGATCTCAATGACCAATCACTAACCTCAGCTTCGCCCAACGGAGACGAGCAAATTCTGGCCTTTGCGGCTCTAGGGAGACTAGTGAAAATGCGGAGCCAAAAGCTTGTGGAAGAGTGGTGGCAGAAGTATCGGCCTAAACGATACAAAGATCTCGACCTCTACATGCGCTGCAAGCGACCGCCGGAACTGGCTCTGCCTCGATGGGCGTATCACCGTCTTATTGCGGCAAGAACAGGCCACGGGGACTACGCCGACTACCACCGGCGGTTCAACCCCGAACATGAAGATCTGATGTGCATTTGCGGCCGAGAGAAAAGGCCCTGGCATTTTTCAGAGTGCCGACCTGCTCTGCAACGTTGGAGAAGCTGTGAGAAAATGACTCCACCTGGGGTCAGGGAAATGATAGGGGAGAAGGGATGGCAGAAGTTTTTCCAATTCCTAACCATAAGCAGATGCTACAGTCTGCCGAAGAACTGACAGGGTGGGAGTGACCATGCTGAGATAGTTTCTGGCTCGAGAGGAGAGGTGTTTGGAAGATAGGGATACGGTGCAGGGCACCGTAACTCAGACATTTGCTGTGATTTTATTTTTCTTTTGTCGCTTCTGGCTTTAATGCCGGTCATGTAGGTAGCAATGAGCTCGTAGGGCCCATCTACCCGTGTCACGTCTAAATAGATGTTGGGTTCGTCCTGTCACGTTAAAGATTTCAAATTCAAATTCAAATTCAATTGATATCCTCATGAGAAAATGGCCCCACCTGGGGCCAGAGAAATGATAGGGGAGAAGGGATGGCAGAAGTTCATTCGATTCTTAACTACAAGCCGATGTTACAGTCTGCCGAAGAATGAACAGGGTGGGAGGTGACCACGCTGAGATTGTTTCTGACCCGAGAGTAGATGGGTGTGGAAGATAGGGATGCGGCGCAGGGCACCGTAACTCAAACACATACTGTTCTTTTTTTTTTTTCAATCTTTTCTTTTGTCGCTTCTGGCCCCACTGCCGGTCATGTAGGTAGCAATGAGCTTTCAGAGCCCATCTACCCGTGTCACGTCTAAATAGATGTTAGGTTCTTCCTGTCACGTAAAAGATTTCAAATTCAAATTCAATTGATATCCTCTAAAAATACACATCTATTTCAAAAATTATGCTCTGTATTACACAAGTCTACATCGAAGCCCTCAGTATGGCTCGCAACTAAAATGAAAGCGTACTACATGTTTTGTGTGTCTTCTCCATCCCAATACTTTGTGTACCCTCCATTTACCTCTATCACTGCTACAAATTTTTTTGTGCATGCTGCCAACTAGTGACAATAGCTTCTCTGAAGGTATAGAGTCCCATGCATCCTGTAGCAATGTCTTCGACGTGGCAGAGCGCACAAGCCTGACCCCATTTATCTCAGGACTATTTTCCTGATTGTGGTTTTTTAAGATATTCCACACTGGCTCAATCGGGTTCCTGTCCGGAGAGTAAGGTGGCCATCTAAAGGCGTTATTCCAACTTCACGCAGCGCCTCAATTGTGGAGTACGCTTTATGACATGGTGCGTTGTCGTGCATGTATAGAATTTCTGGATTTTCCGAGTGAAATTGATTCAAAAGTGGCAAAATCCTTTCACAAAAGGATGAGGACCTTATTGATCCCCAATTCTTCTCCCAGACTAGGAATGGGCCTTTTTGTGATCCGTAAAATGATTCCCAAAACATCCAGCTGTTCCCATGAGTATGGCGAGCCAAAATACAAGTCTCATCAAACTCATCATCAGGCTAAGCTCTGCTGTTAATAAAAGGAAGATTTTGATAGAATCTTAATGTATTTTTCTTGTGACACGAGGTTTTATATGACAATGACCCGATACCCAGGTTTCATCAGTCCATAGAATGCGACTCCATTGTTCATCGCTCCAATCTAAATGTAATTGGGCGAACTCCAATCTTTTCTGCTTGTTCACTGCGCTCAACGGAGGCTTCTTCCGAGCAATGCATCAGCTGTAACCTCTTTTTCTGAGTGCATTAGAAATTAAACATTCACTGCATCCCCAGTGGCTGAAGGGCCCCATGGCTAGTTCCAAATAGCACATCTGTCGATTTTCAGTAGATTCCTGGACGAAAGCCTCAAGTTCATCAACTTGTTCCGCGCTTAATTTTGGTGAGGGTCCTTTGCGAGATATAGGATTCTCAGTCTCTCGAGCACACGCAAGTTGTACTTGTCTTATTGTGAAGCCAAGTTTGTCGGATATATTTTGAAGTGTCAAGCCAATTCTTCTAAATTCTCTTATTTCAATACATTGATCGCGAGTTAGATGCTTGCAAACCTTAGTTTTTGAAGCAGACTTTTCGAGAGAAATTTTTTGCTAGAATAGAGGATAAATTGATAGTGGTGAGAAGTTTCAGTGACATTAATGACTAGGCAGCCAAAAATGTCGTTGAAAATGTATTTTTCTAAGAGATTACTAGAAGAAGACGATTGGACCATACTTCATGGAGAGCGGGGTAAGGAGGAGAGACTGACTAACCTATTACGAGCTAGCCCAACTGCGCCTACAGGGCTAATCCCTTCAGCGACCCAGTTTGAAGTTTTACCTTTTGGAACCTAGAGGCACTGTATTATGTTGCAGATATTTACATGATAATTAACCAATCGCACATACTTCTAGATAGCGCCGTAGCTAGTCTCTTTTAGTAGTGATCGATAGGTGAGTGTAGCGATCGGTGGTATCTAATTTATCAATAACCTGTTTCCATTTCCCTAGCTCTGCTTGCTACACTACGCGGATGACGATTTACTACTAATGTGAACAGCACATTTATAACTACGGCAACCGTTCCCTCATCCAACTAGACTTCACAGCATATTATGATAATTTGTTATACATTGAGTTCCCTAATGTGTGAGCGAAACCAAGCACTTCAGCTACTAAAAATTAGACACAAATATCGAGTAAGAATATAAACCCTAGCAGATAAATCAACAAAGAAATCCCCCAATAAGGATGGTTGTAGATACCCCTTGGCTAGACACATATACTGCAAATATGTCAGACCAGAGCGAAAATATCGTGGCCATTGAATTACGCTAAACCCCCCAACTCCAATTACATTACAGCTATTTTCATAACCTCCTCCACTTATACGTTTCATGAATGGATATAGTTCAAAGCTATCATGATTGTGATCGATGATGCTTAAGTTGTCTAGTTCTCCAGTTCTCATAGCAAACATCGCGACACACCTCTCGTATCTCATCTCGCCATTCACCCAAGATGGATTCTTTTAACTGCACAAAGTCGCAGTGTTGACTATTCATTGGATCGGCAAAACCCCAAGGAAACCTTCGACCGATAAATGAAGGTTCGTACATGTCAGGACTAATGACTGACAATGGTAGGTGTGGAAAATCCCCAAAAATATCACTTCCGTCTAGTGATACCTGACGGTGCGATGAGTGTGATAGATTTCGCTTCAGGTTTAGAGTTAGAGGCTTATTTATTGGAAGAAAGCCGTCCTCTGCCAATGTTCCCGAATCACTGCCATTATCAGTCCTGCATTGATTATCTTCATTGTCTGTATCGCTGGGTGATCCACTCGACGATCTGGCGCTGCTAAGTCCGAGCGCTTGGAGGGGATCAAGATTAGCCAACCGCATTCCCTCCAACATCTTCTTTTTAAGGTAAATCATTTGTGCTGTCGTGATCATATCTGCTTTGGAAATTATGGGAATTACTGTTGTTTTTCCTTGAAGCATCCGAAGAACTTTCAAGTCTAGATCTTCATCAAGCCCACCAGCAATACCTTGAATGCATTTACTTTGTCTTTCACCCGGCCACTTTTCAATTCTGAGAGCTGCATTCCATTTGGTGATGTCCCGGTCTAAGCGGAGGGGATCGAGAAGAACAAAGACAGCGTGAATGTGTGAATCTTCAGAATGCGGCGCACGAACCACCTTTTTTTCTTCGGCAAATGTCTCTTCAAATTTACTTTCCAGAAATGACATGATCTCGCGTAATTGAAAGTCAATTACATGCTTCTCTAACCCTTCAGAATCCCAAAGAGTTACTCCGACATTCTCTCCGTCAATATTGGTCTCGACATAATGCCTCTCGAAATTTCCAAACTTGGGGTGCGGAGAAGCAAAGATGTCATCTTGAAGAGTGGCTAAATGTGAGGTTTCCTGGGATGACTTCAAGGATTTTTTGAAAAAATTGACAAACGAGGTTTTTCCCGATGACTGCGCGCCAATGATTAATATACTATTACAAAGTTAGCCATGGCTCAAATTATGTACTATCGAAAAATATTACTTAAAGGGAGTCGGGCCTCTTTTTTTCCGAACCTGACGCTTATTCGCGCCGCCAAAGGCACTATTGGCATAGCTATTTCGACCGCGATGCATAACGCTACCAGAACGCGAGCATGAATCGAAGCCCTCAGGAGATGGTAAAGCAAAGGATATGGAATTAACTGCCAAACGGTCGCTCTCGCCTGATATTGTTGAAGGAAATGCTACGCTTGAGACAAATGTTGCCGAGGAAAAGCTGTCATCATCGTTATATGCTAGAGAAATGGGTTTCTGGTCTTCGTACAACAGCGGAAGGGTCGGTTGCAATAAAGGCGGCTGTTGGTGCAAGGCGGCTTCCTGCCGCTGTCGCTCAAGCTCAAGGCCACGTATAATAGCTTGTGATTTTTTTCTGGGTTTGGGCTCATTAGACTTACTACGCCGCAATAGAGTGCCTAATGAAGGTCGTCTTGGTGGTGGTGCGGTCTTGATAACCTCGGTGAGCGACACCAAATTATTGTTGTTAGCTGATAAGCGGGTCATGATGGACAGAAGGTGAGATGTCTGCCAGTTTTTTGAAAGAGCACACTTGATTACTAGGCCGATACAGTAGTTCCTGAACTCACAGGTAGCCCTAGTGAATAGGAGATTTTGAAAGTCTCAAGTGAATTTGAAGGGCCCAGCCTCTTGTTCAGGCGTCTCGTTAGCTAAGAGCCCGCCGTTTATGTTTAGTTGATGAGCAGGTCGGTAAAAGTCTTTTACATAAAACGGCGTGGTGATGGATCAAAGAAACTTATGATCAAGCACGGGGTGTCTCTGAGGCAGCACGAACGTTAATGGGGCGATATCATGAATAAATGGTGAATATTAGAGGGAAATCTTCGAGTTACCAAAGGGGGAAAGAAAATATCCCAAGGAAATGTGCAATAAAGATTGAGCCGATGACTGTGACAGGACAAGTTGGCCAGAGTCGTGGCAAGGGCGGTGGAAGAAGAGGAAGTAAGTTGAGATTGGGGAGAGTAAGGGAAAGATGGAGAGGAAGATCTAGACGCAGCAATAAGCAGAAGAGAAAAGGAAGCGGGGCAACGATATCGGGAAAGAGCGAAGGAAGCAGGGGGACTGTTTTACCACTGAGATTCATCATGTGCCAGTCGTGTGCGGAAGTTGTGGAGGGGAGGGAACGACAGAGATTCAGGGTCTTGCCAAGTAGAACCTTATCGTACTGCACTAGATAGACCGTTGGCCCTGATCAGGAGCAGTTAGGAAGCGAGGGCAACACAATATTCGACGCTTTACTCAGTGGGAGGAGAATACGCAGACAATTGGATAGAACATTAAGGCGGGACGGTTTCTTACAAGCTACATGTTTCTCGTGGCCCATCCGAAACAGTGCTGTTTGTTTCGGCACGCCTTCAGCGTTTGCTGCTGGCATAGGTCGCGACGAGTCAGCGAATGTCAGATTGAGTGATTTCCCACTGCCGTCGCACGTTGCGAGCCGTGACGTGCCTCCCTCTTTCCGTTGAGAATCGGACGAACCCGAACTCTCCTTGCACGCTGCGCATCGGAGGTGGTTCGCGGAGCCACCGTTTTGTTTTGTTTCGCGGCTGTTTCGTAGACTTTTCCATCTACCGTTCATTGTTGTTTGTGGTTAGAAGCAGCAGCAAACCCGTTGGTACCGTGTGCGGGGATCAAAGCTTCTCCAAGTAGAATCGGAATTTAAGGTGTCCCATGCCAGAGGTGCCCAGCGATGTCGTTTGCCGGGGACGATGGAAGAGGCACATTCCTCACCTCTACTGACTCTGAAATTGCTCCGGAGCTATATATGGTAGATGAACGATGCTTTCTCCATAGACGGCGTAAAGGGGTTGATATTACCCACACCGCGACGATTGGTGGTTTGGAGATGCAAGATAAGCCTCCGCAGCTTCCCCGATAGTGGATCAGCCCCGCAGCGGCCCGCCCTGCCGACGCTATCCAGAGGGTCAACCAAAAGAGGCCTGATCCTAGTCAGGCTGCAGGTCCGACACGACGCTCTCCGGACTAGGGCGGCATCTTCTCGTCGTGCTCACCCTTGTCGCAGTCAAAATTCTGATCTGTGGTATCAGCATATTTGTCTCTCATTAGAGTTGCTCCGTTTTCCATTGAAAATAACTCGATCCCTAGTTGGATTGGGATGGTTCACACCATCGCTTTCCTGGAGGTCGCCATGTAGGCGTGGAGCGATACCATGTTTGATCGTCCCACTGCAGATGTGCCAGCGACGACGGAATGTCCGGTAGGGCCACCAGCTATTTATTTTATTGCTAGCCACTTAACCTCGGCTTTATTGCCAATCAATTAATGGAAGACTCATGTTTCCATGTGTCCAACTCGAATCTCTGCCTTCTTCATTGCCCCGATGTAGCCGCAAGATCAAGCTCTCCCCAGCTACTAGTAGTTGGTAGAACTGTGCAACGATGTGGATACTGCCTACAAAGGCGCCCACATGCGGTCTCGTCGACGCCTGCGCGCATCCGAGCTTGTATAAGGTTGAGATGGGTCTGCATCGTAGTCGTGCATATGTTAGACCGGGGTTTGCTCGAATTGCTCGAATACCCTTCATTCGCAACGGGCATGAAACGCGCCCTGCGATAACAGGGGCCTTAATACGATGGCAACGCTGTGCACGTGATACGACAGACGACGTGGCACGTGGACGGCACTGGCACATTTAGAGCTTAATCGTCTCGCCCAACTCGGACAGATCATTGACTCTTGCAAATTTGCACACTTAGCCATGCCGTCGGCGAGTTCTCTGCCAGCAAAGCATCAACTCTCTCTCGTCTTCAGAAAATTTTTCCATTTGGAAATTGTGTGTCCTGCCACCACTGAATTTGTCTAGCGCCCAGATGCCCGCTGGTTATTGGTTGATATAATGTACTGCATGGTCAAACCACTCGTCACCTATCCAGACATGACGAGACGCCTGCGCCCTGAAGACTCGCAGCGACACGTCTTTCTCAATTTTGAAACCGAACAACTTCTTCGTATCGATCGCGCGCGCTAGCATGACATGAAAAATCGTCCCGCACACCTTAACGGTTAACAGCGGCACGTCCAAGATGACAGTTTGAATTACAGTTCCGTTGGTCTCTGTCGCACTTCTCTTCCTCCATCAGCATAAAATCCGAGTGTAGCATGACTAAGAATCAGCCTGTGTTGCCATCTTCTAACCCTAGACTGAGACATGTCCTCAGAGCCGAGGCTAAGTCCCTCCTCCTTCATATTCATAGACTCAGTAGAGACGTAAAATTAATTCTACACTACCCTAAATTTTTCCCCATTAATAGTTTTGAGAAAATTGTCGATAGAATTTCGGTCAAAGGGGGATTTTTGGTTAAAAGCCCTTACTACAGAGGTCTAAAGATCGAATTAGTTGACATAGCTAAATAGCTGGATTTTAAAAAAAAAATCGAATAAACCAAAGAAAAAGCTTAGAATGCAACTGCCGAGTAAGTCGGTCCCAGACTTTAATTAGCACCACTACCACGTTTTTCTATGCCAAAAAGTCACTAACTTCTCTCTATTTAACAATTTTAGAGATGCAAGGTAACTCTTGAACATCAATTTCATCCCCCATAACTGTCCAAGGGTACATCGAACAGACCAGAGAAATTTTCGAATGTTGATATGAAGTAGATCTATTGGGCATACACTAGAGATGAGTAAATTTGGTAACTAACGACAGAATCCCCATAAAGAAGACTCGTGCAGAGCTGTTGGAATTCAAAGATAGATCGGAGACAAGAGTTAGGTCAGGAAAGCAATCATCCGAGGAGATTGTAGGGAGGCATGTCCCCTACAATTCTTGTTACATGTGCGGGCCCGCTATACATCATCAGGTACATTTGAATGTACCGGCATATCGGGCTCCTTGGTTAGACCAGAATACCCAGGAGGATATAATTTAAACAATTAAGACTAAAGTCTGAGGGCCCAGATAGACTCACGAAAGCTGTGGCTACAAATCATTTCACTGTCGGACCCAGCCAGATTTTTTAAAGCTAATCTCGTTACCTTTCCCGAGAGTGTGTAATTGGACTCGGCGCGATAGGATATTTAGCCATATATTCATCGTGTGCACTTGATGCACACACTCCATGGGCGTCCCAATCTCCGATATCTAGCGAATCGGCACCCAGAAGACCACGCTGATCGGTAAATTTGACAAGTTATGTGCAGTCCTATTAGTTGCTAGGGTCCTATACATCCCTGCAAGTCGAAAATTTTAATCTTACTACCTTCTATGATCCAGCATTATCCTATCAGTTAATATCGTTCCCAAGACCTAGACTTCGTTGAACCTTACCATGGAAATCTGCACTCCCTACACGGAATGTCACTTCCCGAACTTCACGTCATAAATCTATTACTCTACATGCTACCTTCCACTGGAGTACCTCCAAATATTTTTCAAGAGCTTCATCCATCCTGGTTTGCTGAAGAATTAGATGTGTCCATACCTCAAATCTTCCGTATGCCTTCTTGTATTAATTAATCCAAAAGCTTCATCCGGTACGGGAATTTCACTTGATCAAGTAATTCGATGGGCTTATATTCTTTTTGATATTATGTACCGTGATGGGATGGTAAACAGGGGGGCAAGACTGAACACCTGTACGTGGTCTCCTCTACGAACCTGGGAGTGAAATATTCTCCCAGAGCCAAGTTCAGTCAAATTGGCAATACCAAATCAGTTGGCCCAAGAGGCAATGATTCAAAACATCCCACCACGTCAAATTTCCACTCTCAACAAGATCAACTCCTACCTAAGTCTCATCAAGTCTACAAGTACGACCGAGTGAATCCTCATTTAAATGACCAAACTTCTCATCGTCTATACCCAGACCTCAGTCGGTCACTGAATATACGCCCAGGAAAACACGAACACCTGTAGAAAGACAAAAATCGAGGCGCATAAATTTGGGAGGAGGTTCTTTGGGATGGACTTGAGAGAAATCCGGACAAGTTTATAAGATGGTGCGAGGGAAGGAGAAAATGTCGACAGGGGGGAGATTTTGAAATTTGGCAAGGACATTCACAAATCGGAGAGTATTATGCGCGCCAGGCCTTCGATTGCGAGAGTGCAGCTGACACTACAAAGACAAGCCAACAAGGGAATGCGCCGTGGTCTGTCTCCTGGTGATTTTCTCTGATAAACTTTGAGTAGCCTGGGCACCTACTCCACTCGGGAAGGAGTTATCTCAGATCACATTTCGCGCGGAGAAAAGTTGATGGATGATGGAGGCATGTCTGGATAACTCTAGGTTTTTGAGATGTTCCCCTGAGTGGGTATCCACGAACGAGGGTTGACTCGGGGTAAAGGAAAAGCCGCCATAACTTCGCAGTGGTACTTGCAAGTAAAATCCGAGGCATGAGTGCTCTTCCTTTATATTGAGTTATCTTTTCTATACTTTTTCCCCGATATTGCGTTAAAGCTAGCTAGCTGCATGCGCGAATAAAATTTGATCCACAAAAAACGAGATAATCGTTAAATTATAAGA